CGGTTGCGCTAGAACGTACGGTAGGCCGACGCTGTTGAGTTCGTTATTATTATGATTTTTATGTCACAATATATGTCACAATATATGGTTAATGCAAAATCAATCACAGGGAGGATATGCTATACATGTGTGTTGATTCTTAAAACTTTATTGAAAGTTATATATAATTTTATTATATTTTGTTATTCCAAAATTACACCAAAGCGGAAACATATTATTTAAAATATTACTTTTTGATTACTGAATTATTATTTCTTTGTTTAACGAATGCTGTACGTTAAAAAAATGGTAGCCGTAGCCTTATTATAGACTTAAAGCTTAAAACTTACGAACACCCTTAGATACAATACATCTAAAAAGAAAGCCAAAAATGACCACCGAGCACTAAGAGACTGATAATGAACACAGAATCAAGAGAAGAGCAATGACGTGGATGGTATGTAAGTTTCAAATCATACAGCGTTGTAAGTGGAAACAAAATTTTTTTTTAAATGATACTGAGAAATTGAGAAGATATCTAATATTATAATACTGTATTAATTGGCAGCTAAAATGTAAGTTTCAAAGCCCGAATAAACAGTAGGTTGGATGTTACTAAGAGTGAGTATAACGCACCCAACCAAATTTGATACGGTCCACATTTTCAAGACAGACGAGAATGTACTGAACATAAATTTGTGATTTTCTGTGATTGAAAAATAAAAAGTTTTTATATTTCAACCAGTAGACATAATCGTGATTCAGAAAAACGCAATTTATTCAATTTTGAAATTTTGGCTTAGGGGCACCCTGTGGATGTAATCTATCATGGAACTTAATAATATAGGCCTTCTCCAAATAATTTTTCGAAATATGAAATCATTATGAGAATTACACATTATATCCGACCGTCCTACCACTAAGCATTGAATTTTGGCAACCAATCAATCACAGAGGACATTTATGCACATTTAATTACTTTCCCAGCTGGTGGCAGTAAAATAAAAATGTTTTATTATTTTTCCTGAAGTTACAACTTAAAAGTTGTGGTCATAAGATTAATTCTAGAGCCGCATCAGTAACAAGATTATTAGGTTAATCATTCCACGTCGCACAGTGGGCCAGAATTGTTTCAAAGTGTGCCAAAAGTCAATACTCATAAGAAAATACTGATTATGTTCATGTTAAGACTGTTTTAGGGGTTTTCAAACCTGCTGAATTCAATTAAACTATTTTAAAATATATATGACGTCATCAAATTACTGTTTTTTGATTGGATGAGTAAAATATTCATTGTAATACCTAGGCAGATCCATATTACCTTGGTTATTAGAACATATGAGGGGTTTTCTAACCCGTAGATTTCAACGCAAGCATATTTAAATATGTATGACGTCATTAAAGTGGTTTTTTTTATTGGACGACGTAAAATTTAAGATCTAGACAGAATAACTTGCCAGAGCTCAGTATGACACGAATGAGGGTTTCTAGACCGGCAAATTCAAATTAGAACATTTTACACTTTATGTGACATTATTAAAATACATTTCTTCAAAGAAAAGGGTGGAAGGTGGAGTGTTAAGAAGACACCTGCAGTACCCCCTTAGTCCGCGTCCACCCCATCAGTCAGCCCTCACCAGCGAAAATAAGCACAAAAGATCACGGTCAAACAAATTGAATTTACCTAATATCGCTATAACTTGCGTAAGCAATACTTGTTGTATTTGAATGGATGCTACATAAATAAATGAAATAAAGAAATTAAATGAGCTGTCCCACTTCATCGGGCATTTACCCCCATCCCATCACTCACCTTGGGATGCCCTTATAATCTCCAGAGGCAATTTGGCTTCAAATTTAGGATGGAATCAAATGTTTAAAAAAAAATAAATAAAAAAATAAAAACAAAAGAGAAAGTGTCGGAAAAAATGATTCCTAGAATAATTGACCTCAAAATAAAAGGGGGTCGAGGTCCTCCCAGGAAAAATGTTGTTTCCTTAATGGCGAGAAATGAGATTTTCCGACTTTTGAGGTGTATTTTAATGACAATTAAGTCTTTTAAAGTTCAAGATTTTCCCTCACTAGAAAACAGTCATGTCAACTTTGTCATTCTTATTAGAGTAAACAGGCCTATGTGTGTATAAAAAAAGGGTAGTTGCATACGTAGGCTTATTTTGATTTCCATGAACCGATGAACCCCAAATAGGACGGTGGTGGGAAAATGATGATTCCTATATGTCGGGAAACGGGTTTTCTCAACTTCTGAAATTTTTGTTTCCCTCTCTTGACGTCCTGGAAAAGTAAGTCTAGAATTATTTTTTAAATATTTATTTATTTAATGTTTTTGTCCAACGGGGTGTGGTCAGGACCCTGACCCCTCCAGATCCACCAATGATCTCCCTCCCCAATTCACTCCTAGATATGACACTGGAAATCGAGTGTACTTGTTTTTACATTTGAAGGGGGGGGGGGGGTATATTAAATCGCTTGCTAAAGGCCGGGTGGCAGATATTGGCAGCTAAACTTGGCATTAACGTAAAGCCAGAAATGTTGATGTCAAAAGCATGACGAAAATCGCCGGTAATTCTAACTTTTAAGTTGGTTTTATGAAAAAAATGTTTTTAAGCGTTTTTGGCTCATAATTAATGCTCTTTATTTTAAAAATATACCAATAATGTCATTTTTTATTTTACTATCTAATTTAGTTAACAATAGGCAAATACTGCAAGAAGTATCAAGTTGACTGCTTTCATCTAAGTAAAGTCATAGGGAGTTTTTCAAAACCGTCAATTTTATCATTATACGAGTAAAATACAACTCTTTCATGTTTACATGGTCATATCACACTTCTATGAAAATTCACTATAATATATGAAATTATTGGTGGATTAATATAATTTAGGATGTTCTCGACCTCAAACAACCTTTAAAAGTTGAAGTTGTCACATACCTATTTTCGAATTTTTGACACACTTTGAACTGATTCTGGCCCACTGTGCGTCGGCGCGTTCACTGAAAACATTTTTTTTTTATTTAATTTTTTTTAAATTGGATTTAACATGTGTATAATGACTTTGATAAACAACCATAATTCTCTGTACTATCTAAATGTTTAAAGAATGGACTTCCTTATGTTGTGGTCATATTAAATGACAATATTTTTAAAGACCATTAAACAAACCACTTAAAAAAATTCCCATGTCGGTGCATGCAAAACGTGTAATTTCCGGAAATTTGGACATAGAACGAACTTCCTTATGATTTAGGCCTTAGGAAATAAATATGGATCTGAACTTTGTAGGTGACAAAGTGTTCTTCCTTATGTTGTAGTCACATTAGAATATAATATCATTAAAGACAATATTCAACAAACAAAATGAAACATATATCAAACTTTTAGGTTAAACTTTCCGCTTTGGAGCATGCATATAACGTAATTTTTAATATTTTCATGACAGTCGAGAATGTACTGATTATATAAATTTTAGATAATTACTGTTGTCCGATTGTGTGCATTGAAAATGTGACGATGAACTCGGGATACGGGCCATGGTTGACACACATTTCGAGGGGGCTGTTGTCACCTGTTACGATGCTATCACATCATCGTCATCTTCATTATCGTAATTAATTGCCCATGGTAAAATAAGGTAAAAACTATTAATTCAGTGTGTATTCATTCATCAATAGAAGTCTCGTAATGCACGAGTGCATTTCTCAGCATCTAGAAAAAAAAAACTTTCCTGAGGGGTAGGAAAACCCCAAGACTCAGACGAGTCACCCCCACCCCATCTGGGAATCAAAATTTTCCCGGGGGAAAACCCCTGGACCACCCTTTCTTTTTGAGATTTATTAATTCATGGAAAAAGAATATGCATGCAACTACAGTAATCATATATTTAAGTATGTATACACACATAAAATAAAATATGAGGAAAATTTACCTGACTGTTTTCAAGAAGGTAAAACCTTGAATTTTGAAGAACTTAAAAAGTCATTTAAAAGACATTTCTGAAGTCCGGAAAGCTCATTGAAATTTTCTCGGGGGAACCCGGACACCCTTTTTTTTTTGGGGGGGGGGGGGTTTATAGATTCATTGAATCATTTTTAAGAGGGGGAAAACTTTGAAGAAATTAAAAGTAATTAAAAGACACCTCAGAAGTCGGGAAAGCTCATTTCCCGCCTTCTAGGAATCAACATTTTCCCACGGGAGAACTTCTGGACCTACTTTCTTTTTGGAATTTATCGATTCATGAGAAAAAAAAAATTGTATGCATCTACTCAATATTTTTTATGTATTTATTTACTGTAATAACAAGTGAAAAAATTTAGTTGACTGTTATCAAGAAAGGAAACCTTGAATTTCTGAAGTCGAAAAGCTCATTTTCTCGCCATCTAAGAATCAAAATTTCTCTCGGGGGAAAACCCCGGAAACCCCCCCCCCCTTTTCTTTGGAGCTTATCAATTCATTGAAAAAAGAATACATATCCAACTACTAATTTTTTTTAATGTATGTATATACACATAACCGGCCAATTTACTGTAATAAGAATGAGAAAGTTTACCTGACCGTATTCAAGAGGGGGAAAACCTTGAATTTGAAGAACAAAGTCATTAGACACCTACTGTAGCTCAAAAGTCGAGAAGGGTCATTTCCCGCCATTTAGAATTCAAAATTTTCCTGGAGGAGAACCCCTGGATCTCCTGTTGGCGACAGTCGTCAACAGTTGTCCGGAATGTTGAACCTGGTTCAACTTTTCCGGTTGCATTGCAGACGCAGACGAATCAGTGCATTGCTAGCTGCCCTGTGCAATCGGGAGGGCACCCCGATTCGTCTGTGAACCATAACTATCACGACTGTCGCCGCTAGGGTGAGCGACTTTATGGAAACCGAGCTAAAACTCTAGATCCGCACCTGAGAGTTCCCTATTCTCAAAATTTTCTATTCCCTCAGCCCCAACCATGTTAGGAGCACCCCCTACCGCTAAATCCTGCATCCGCCCCAGAAACAATCAACTTACTAATTTCACAACGTGTGCCGGAATACCCAGGAACACAGATGCAGATGTAGCTGTTGATTCCATCAACGCGAGCACCTCCAATGAAAAGGAGCACTGTTGCACTCATTGTTAACCAAATCAAATGCTTTGTAGTTCTAATGAGCACATGTTTTAAAGTGCACATGCATGCAAACACAAGCTTAGCAACACATGTTTTGTGCACATGTGCAAAGTACACATGCATGGACATCCATAAGCCTAGTAACATGTGTTCTTGTATACACATGTGCAAAATGCACTCATGCAAACTGATGCTCATTAACACCCATGTTCATGCCAAAATGTATGCACATTACATACCCTTACAGTTTGGCATTCCCAAACTAAAATACAAAGAAGCAAATAAACTAATCAGAAATTAAAATGAAACATGAACAAACAGAAAAAGTAAGAGAGTGCTGTGCATGCCAGTAAAGTGAAAAAATCCCAATAAATGAAATATAATGATTTCTGAACGTGTGATGATCTGAGTTTGATTAACAAGGCAATGAAATTATATCACTAACTAATTTCACAGTTGACTCCAGAATAACCAGCTACACAGGAGCAAATGTAGGCATTAACACCATCTAAGCAAGTTCCTCCATTAAGACAAGGCAATGAAGCACATTCGTTAATATCTGAAATAATAGAAAATTACACAATACAGCATTTTTTTAAATTATATTTTCATTTAGCATTATTTTTTTTATGCTTGTCCTTTTTTAAATGTTAAGGTTAAATGTTATTCATTTATATTTCACAAAATACATGAGTCTCTATGTGCAGAACAGAACAGAAGTGAGCAGATGTAAATCGAATAACAAAAATGGAAATCCTAAACACCACCACCCAAACTGCAGTACGGGGATACTTGCTCGTCGCTGAGGATCAGTATCAAAATGTACCCGGTCCCTGCCCAGCACCAGTTGAGTCTCGGGTGTCCCAAGCTCAGACTGACGAAAGCTAAGACCTAAGATTACGAGATATCAGACCCCGAAAATTAAGACCCTCAACTAAGTATGCCAGGATTTCTAGACAATAATTCCTTTATTCGAAAGCTCTGAAAATGCGCGCTCCTCTATTAATATGAGATATTATGAGGTTTGTCAATTTGTAGTTGCCCGCGATATGACTATCATGTATGCATATAAAATCCCCTGATTGTTAAAATTATTTTAAATTTTAAGAAAATTCAAACACACTTAAAAAAAACATGGCCACCAACAAAATGAAAAATGACTACTATTCTAGAATAGCGCACCATTTTGCAGTTTGGGTTCTCTATGAATTTTAAGAAACCCATTACCAAGTTTCAATGACATTGTAAAAAGTTTTCAAATATGCAAATGAAGAAAAAAAAAGCATAAAGTATAATGATGCATGCACATGTAAAAAAAATGTGAGGACATGCACAGCCATTGCAAAGCATCTCGCTAATTCATGTGCTTATATATAGATGAAAATGTTCATGCTCAGTAGAGCATACAGGGGAGGAGGAAGGAGAACTCCCCCCAAAATAAAGCTTGTGCTCCCCAGTCACCCTTCCCCTTTGAAAATGTCCCTTCCCCATGGTCAAGCAGTAAAAGTCACCTTATATTACCATATTTTGCAACTTAGTGCCCCATCACTTAATCAAAAGGGCCCCACTCTACCTTTGCATTCCAAATCAGCCCCCGTTTTAAGAATCCCAGACACGCAACTGCTCACTTAGCATGAACAAAGCCCACGCATTTGCATAGCCATGCAGTTTGACATTTGTGAAAAGTCATAACTAAATGAATCTTGTTATGAAAATGTTTGATATAGAAATAATTACATCTCCATGTTTTGATCAAAACGGGGGTTTATGATATTCTGATAAATTTAATACTTATATTGACAGATAGTATAACATTTTGCATGGACTTATATACATTAAATTGGCTTTTAAGGATTATTTTCGAAGGCTGTTTTTTCTGAATTGTAAGAAAACTAATTAAAAAAAGCTATCAATTGTTTGTCTTTAAAGGCATTTTTTTTCAAAACTTACGTCTTAAGACAACAAAAGTGATTATGTCTCTTCACCCAGGAACTTAATGCAAAATCCAAAATAAAGCTTACAATTTCATCTGAATAAATTAACAGCTCATTTTTCATATTTTGGTCCTAAAAAGTTCATTTTGTGATGACATCTCACATTTTACAAGTATTTAGTGGCTAAATAAACAAAGATGAACAGGAAGCTAGACTGAAGAATGCTTTTTAAGTATTTTTTTTTTGCATGCAAAGTTCGATGACATTTATATGGAAATTGAAGAAAACATGAGAAAATGTGTTATGATGTATTTGTATTGCAAAGCAACTAAACAATATCACTAATTTAGCAGAAGGTTCCGCTATAACCAGGTGCACATTGGCAAATGTATGAATTAACACCATCTAGACAACTTCCACCATTCTGACAGGGAGCCTCGCAAAACAAAGCAACGCGTATACCCGTCTACAACGCGTGGTTGGGGATTAAAATCTCTTTGCGTTGTTGACGAGTGGTTCAAGATACTGATCAAAAATGTTGGACGATTCCATTTCGCGAATTAGGGTTCATTTTCCGACATTTTTGTTCTACTTGTTTGCGTCGGTTTATCTCGTGATTTTGATGTACTGTAATTTATCGACAAGTCTCTTTTCTATGTTTTGTAATAAGTTTCATTTGATATTATAAATTAATTTTAATACTATATCCTGTCATTTGTTATTGAGCTATTCTGTAAAATTTAAAACCGAAATGTCGAATACCAAGACTCTAAACCCACTGAAATTTCCTATACACTTTTATACTGTATTATAATCAGGCCAAACTCATGTTTTTGCCATGAATATTGACGGGATAAACGCAATTTAATGCCAGTGTATTGCTTTTTCTAGAACTATTCATAGGAACACTCCCACTCTCTGCTGCTATGGAAATACAGACTGAATCAAAGTGTACGTGTCATTGATCTTGCATAGTTATGCATAGCTCAGACCCTTTGTACGCCGCCCAGTGTTATAACCAGACCAACCTCATGTTGTTCCATGAGCATGGAGGAATACATTCGTAGTGACAGGATAAACGCAATTTAATGCCAGTACCTGCTTCTTCTAGAACTATTTATAGGAACAGTCCCACAGTTTATGGGGTGCCATACGCAGCAAAAGTCAATGTTAAATTCAAAATGTAATTGCAAAATTCAATGTCTAATTTATTAAAACGTAGGCGTAAATTTCTCAAAATGTAGATCTAGTTTCCCAAAATGAAGTTCTAATTTTTCAAAACGTAGTTCAAATTTCTTTAAAATGTAATTCAAATTCAAAACGTAGGTCTGACTTGATCAAACGCCCTCTCCAAATTCTATTTCAAAACGTAAATCTGCGTGTGGCACTAGACTTGCGAAATGTAAATCAAAACTAATCAGCCAATCATGACGTGGGACTGTGCCATTAATAATGGAGGAACCATTTTTCGCTGCAGTCCAATGCCGTGAACAACGCTTCCCAGTGCGTCTGCTAGTCTAGGCCTATAGTAAAATTCTGCATAAGTAGTCATATGAGTACAGGTTTACATTGTACCAAGATCGATATTAACGATTGCATTTATTTTTCATTGAAAATAAAAAGAAAACTTTAAATAATTTAACTTAAGGATTTTAAAATATTCCAAACCTGTACGCTTAAAATAAATAAATTAAATAAAAAATAAATAAATAAAGTTAACTTAAAACACAAACAACGCGATAGGATATAAATTTTGAGAGACGTTTTGGTATACTGTACTGTATTTCTGAAGTGCCATTCGTTTTGGGGTTGCTACAATCAGGAGTTACAATCGATCCAACAAAGGAAGAGCACTATCTATTTCCTTACATTCCAAAAAGAAGGATTGGATGCTATTTAAATTTCTCTGGAGATTGAAAAATTAACTGTTAACTCCGTTGTTAGAGAACATAGAATGGTACATGACTTTCGGACTTGTATAGGCCTTCAGTAGTAGTATTTATGTGTAAATAAATACAGAGAATAAGCAAACAATGTCGGGGCCCCTCCCGCCTGCCCCTCGCGCCTGGGCCCCTGGCGCCTCCTCCCTCCGTCAGCGCCCCCGAGTGTGACGCCACTGACTGTAACAACTGTTTGTAGTATCCTTGACACGAATATAAATATAATACACGATGATATCCAAAACATCAAGAACTTTATTTTCACTATGCTCAGATACTCGACTCGAAATTACTACCTTTTGTTAAGAAAGCACAGCTTATATCACAGCACAGCATAGACTTGCCACGAGTCTCTTACTTTTTAATTATTTTTCTCATTCTGGACAGCGCCACCAACGAGAAAGTAAAACACTGAAATCAGGCATCAGGATGCCAAAAGAATGACGTAATCTTATATTCCGTATTTGGATAAATGGGCGGACCGAAATAAACAATTTCAACCAATCAAATGTTCATATTTTTGGAGCCACGAAACCGAGTCACTCGCGTCGACTAGTTAGGCCATACGTCCATTTAGGCATGACTAAATTTAAATAGTCTTCCCTAATAAAACGGGCCTAAAATATTAGAATAGACCCTAGTAAGACTAATGTTGGCAATGGCAAAAACAATTAAGCTTAGACTAGATGGCATACCATACAAATACAACAAAACTTTAACTTTCCAGTAGGATGGCTCAGGCCTCGCCTGGAGTCGGGTAGTAGGCCTAGTCTAGACTAGTAGATGCTTGGCCTATTTTTAAGTTCTTACTTACAGAGGCCTACCTTTTTAACAATATATTCTACCCTAAAGGCCTAAATCTGTGTAGCAGCTAGTGGTGAGCAAGGTTCCAAGTAGGCCTATAGCCTACGGTTATCAGTCCATGTTGTTCTCAGCAGGCCAGAACTATTATACTGTTTTAATTCAAGTAGGTAGCCAAAAGGGAGCTGGAGCTTGTTCTAGTCGAGACATCCGCATTTCTAAGTTTCACTTTAATCTTAACCACGTATTCCCTATGGAATCTTCCCATTTCCTCCTTTAATGGCTGTCTCTTATACACATCTAGATGTGTATAAGAGACAGTGCATACGAT